TGTCCAATCTCATCCCTTCCTCCCAAGAAAAGCCACTTTCCCAAATCAATTCAGATTCGCAAAAAACAAATTTCATTTCCAAATTGCTGGCTACAAAAATGAAGACCACACGGGAAAAAGGGAAACTGTCAAAAAGTTAGTTTCGAGAAAAACGCATCTCAATGTTTAGATGCTTCGAAAAAAAAAAATTTTGCTTGGTCTCAAAACGAATAACGGTCCTGATGGAATTCCACCCATTATCATCAAAAAATGTGCACCAGAATTAACACCGATTCTCTGCAAGTTGTTTACCATCTCGTACAGGTGGGGTATTTTTCCATCATGCTGGAAGACAGCTAGAGACCAACCAATCCCCAAAAAAGAGAACAAGAACCTGCCCAACAACTACAGACCCATTGCCCTGTTATCAGTAATCTCCAAAGTGATGGAGAAAGCCATCAATATTGAGCTTATCAAATATCTGGAGAGCTCAGGAATCATCAATGATAGACAATACGGCTTTCGCCACCGAAGATCTACTGTAGTTCTACTTGCCTACGTCACCCATTTATGGCAATCTTCAATAGAAAAACACGGGGAATCTCTAGCTGTCGCGTTGGACATATCGAAAGCATTCGACCGTGTTTGGCACGAAGGACTCCTCCACAAACTACCATCATACGGCTTACCACCTCAGCTCTGCCATCTCTTATCGAGTTTTCTTTCAGGCAGATCGCTTCACGTGGTGGTGGACGGTGTATCGTCTGATACCATTGGCATCAATTCCGGCGTTTCACAAGGATCAATTTTGGCACCAACATTATTCCTGCTTCATATCAATGATCTGTTGGGAGTAACAACTTGCCCCATCCACAGCTTTGCAGATGATAGTACCCTCCATACTGCGTTCTCTTCCAGAATTCCCATTTCTTCCCAGGAAACTAAGAACTCACGGCGCAGGCAGGTCAATGCTGTCAATGAAGATCTTGCTGAAATCACAGCATGGGGAACAAACAACCTAGTTGAATTCAACGCCACCAAAACTCAAGCCTGCATTTTCTCTAGAAAGGCGGAACTCAGTATGCCCGATATTGTAATGTCTGGCTCCACCATCCCCACCAAGCCCACCATATCTATGCTCGGTATTTCCATCAGCAACACTCTTTCATGGGATAATCATGTCAGATCCATCGCAAAAGCTGCTTCACAAAAACTCGGATTCTTGTTCCGTGCGAAAAGCTACTTTACACCTCAACAGCTTCTCATGATCTACAAAGCGCAGATACGGCCTGTTCTAGAATACTGTTTCCACATATGGGGTTCAGCACCAAAACATACGCTGATGCTCTTAGATTGCATCCAGAGAAGAGCCATCCGCCTGGTGGGTGACGCCACACTCACTCACTCTTTGACATCATTGGAACACCGTAGAAATGGTCAGCGACCTTTCACTTTTCTATCGATAGACGAACTAGACAAGCCCAGTCAGCACATCCTTTCGTTGTCAACCTCGAAAGATGTCGAACAGCACTTTATCAAGCCTATCCATAGAACGGCTAGGCTCTGGAATTCATTGACTGTGGAAGTATTCCCAACAACATATAATCTTCAAAAGTTCAAAAAAAATTCCAATACCTACCTCCTGTCCCTATCCTCCCTAGGAACGCACGATGTTCTTTGAACATCATAGGGATTCCCTTTCGTGCGCTCCAAGCGATAAAAAAAATCAGATTTTTCAATTTTTTATCAGAGCGGATTGAATTCTTGTTGAATCAGGTAGTATTTCAGAAATTATTATAAAATACGAATATAAAAAATGTTCATAAAAGTGTATCTTTTGGTAGATGCGAAAATGGGTTTTATATGTATCCAGGATGTTTCAGAGCGGCGGTGACAAAAGTACTCTCAACGAAATATGAAGAAAAGCTCGTATTACAATGAGTCCGAAAACGCTTCGTTACCAAGTTTAGAATCTAGTTATTTATTATACAAGGGAAAAAAGTTATATTTTAGCTCCAGGTTGTGTTACCTCCCGACGCGTAGCGGAGGAAGACAAAAAACCGTGAGCTAAAATCTGATATTTTTCCCGTGTTTAATATACATTTTTTTTTCTGTGACACGAACAAAGACGAATCAATATTTAGAAGATATTACATTATATTAAAATCAGAAAATTATCGACATGAAATTAACAGGAATGACACCTTCGTTGGAGGTATATTTTGTCATTCTTTTGGAGTAATCAAATATTTGTCAGTCTAACTCTGTGATTTGATTTCAAAAATTGCGACTTTAGTGGTCGTTTAGTAAGTTACGTAACCGCGAAGTCGAATGGAAGATAAAAGGATTTGCAGCATATATGTGATATATTTATGAAAAGTGACATTTTATAACCTGTCAACAGAGATGACCTTTCAAACTCTTTACCCGTCACAGAAAATATTTTTTTTCGTTAATATCTTGAAAAAATATTTCTCACAGAGGGTACTAAATTTCATGTCTTTTTTTTTGGATGAAATCTAAGCATTTTTACTTTTCGTTATGAAGTTCAGAGATATGCCGAGGTATGCCATTATCCGTTTTTCTCGAAAACCAAGCAAGATACGGAAAAATGGCAATGGACAGAAATGTTGTATTTTTAGGGTCATCTGAATTTTCAAGAAGAACCCGAAAACAAACATGGGGGTATTTTTTTTAGTAAAAAAAGCCAACTGTTAATAAACCATAAAAATTTCATTCAAATCGGCTTGAGCGTTTTCAAGATATTAATAAAAATATTTTTTTTTCAAATTCTCGAAAACGAAGCATTTTCGGACACAACATGTTCATATGAACTTTTTTTCATATTTTGTTAAGAGCATTCTCCCCTAGACCTTTGTCACCACAACTGTGAAACACCCTGTATGTAGTGTGTCCAGTTTTCGATGCTTTTGCGTGATATCTCAGTGATCTTTGGAGATAGAACCTTCCGGTTTTCGCGGTCCTGTGCCACTTTTTTGTGAAGATCAAGATGTATAATCAGATTTTGCATAATTATTTCCTTTTAGATACAGGGCGATTTTGAAAATATATTATTTTTGAACCCTCTTCATACCTACGAAGTTTTTCAAATCGAAATCTTATCCCATAGAGAAATAACGCAGAATCCAGTAGCGCAGTCAACTTTTTTTTTTCGGGGTATGGTTTTGGAACACCCTGTATATTATAATTTTTCCCTCCAAAATGATATATGAGTAATTAAATATTGAATTTTCGAAAATGCTGAAAAATCACTAGAACATCGAATTTAAATAGTTGGCTATATGGATCTTTCATGTAAAAAAAGTTCCAATTAAAGGAATATTTCTTCTGATTTTTCCATAAATAGGACAAAGACAATACCAACAATAATTGGCTAACAAAACACAAAACTTAGGTACCTGAAGCAACAAATAAATAGTAATAAAATGTTCATAATGTAGAACGAGCACCCGATTAAATATAGGGATATCCTGTAATGTTCAGAGAACACCGTGAGAACCAAGGGAAATAAGGTATGAATTGGTGTTCTCCTTAAACTTTTGAAGGTTATATGCCTCGTGGAACACCTCCCTTGGCAATGTGTTCCAGAGCCTCGATGTTCGTTGGATGAACGAGTCCTCTGAAAGGTCTCCAAAGTGACCACGAAGGGGTGCGAAGCCTCAACTCGACGGGTTAATCTCGCGGGGACTGCCAAGGGAGGAACAATTGTTCAAATTATTGTGTGTTAACAATTCAATGAATGAGTCACTGAATAATTTCGAAATTCAATTGTTTTAGTAAATATTCAATGAGGTGCATTTTCTACATTATGAAGTTTCGTGTTTTGATAGTTAATTAGTGGTGGTATTGTTTTCGTCCTGTTCATGGAAAAATCAAAAGAAATCTTCGATGAATTGAAACTTTTTTATATAAAAAATCCATAACCCACTATAAAAATTTAATGTTTTAGTGATTTTGAAGCATTTTTGAAAAGTTTATACCTATACATTATATATCATTTTGAAGGGAAACAAATAAGAAATTTGATGAGCTTATGAAATACTTTTAAATAATCGTAAGTTTGAGTCGTATCTCCAAAACGATACCCCGAAAAAAATTCAGTGCGCCACTGGATTCTGCGTAGAATTCACTATAGGATAAGATTTTGATTTGATATTTTTGCTGAGAAACTTCGTAGATACAGAGGGAGTTTAAAAAGTATACATTTTCAAAATCGCCCTGTATCTCATAAACGAAAACAGTTATCCAAAATCTGATTAGGCCATCTAGAGTTTCACAAAAAAGTGATACAGGACCGCGAAAACCGCAAGGTTCTATCTCCAAAGATAACTGAGATATCATGCAAATGCATCGAAAACTGGACACACTGTACAGGGTTATTCATCAAACAGGCCCACAATGCTACAATGCCGTAATAAGGTATTTTTACGGTTCTTATCAGACGGTTCACTGGGTAATTTAATTTTTCAACGCCCTGTTTTTTATATTTATTTTGATCACTCAATCAGAGAGAGGGAGAGAAAGTCATGAGTTATTCGGAATACTTTTTTTTTTCAAAGAACAAACGAGGTTGCTGACCAAAAAGAAGTGCTGACTTAAGTCTGTCAAGTTTATCTAACACCTCCATCACTTATTTTTCGTTTGGCCTTTTATTCTTTCCAATATTCTTGTATAAATATGATGCAGTGTTGACCGACTTAAAAATATGGATATATTGGAATTTGAATTTTGTTTTATCGAAATAATCGTTACATACGATCCGAAGTTAGATAATCTGATAAATGCCAAATGAAATATACACGATATTAAATTTTTTATCTGCTAAATTTCAATAGCTATTTGTTATTACTCATTAGAATAAGGAAAAGAAGTTCCCAAAATGTTCCCTATGGTCGCAAAACTTTTCCCCATTTGGTTGAGTACTGTGACATTGTGACGTAGTGAAGTTTAGCAGATGAAAATTGATACACCCTCAACAAAATGAGTGATAAAGAACTTACCTCCTGGGGATTGCGGCAATATTTCTGGCTTGTCCAACAACGAGTTGATAGAATGCCTCTGGAGGATGGCATAATCCCTACAGTCGTTTTTTGGTATGGAAAAATTGAGCTGAAAATATGCAAAAAGAATGAGTAGGGCTGCCACGAGATAGACATTTTATTTTCCATCATACTAGGTATTCAGTTAAATGAATAACTTACTTTCTCATAGATAGCTAATTTCATTGAAATTTCCAGTCTCACATCGGTTGGACCAATTATTAGATTTCGATCTTGAATATTCAGGGGAAAATATCATCCTGAAGTTGTTTCGCGGTTATTATTAGTAATTCAAATAAACCCACTAAGAATACAGTAATTTTATTCCTTGTCAACATTTTTAATTCTCGTAATATGCAATTTTTTTATGAATATTCCAGACAAATTCTGAGAAGTGGCAACATTGCGAACACTAATGATGGAAATAACTCAGGTTTCAGGTGGATTTTTTTTTAAAAGATCCGATACTTCATTCCTAAGAATAATTTGTGTCATGAACTAGAAAATATATACTAGAAACCTCAATGATTTCCTACAATAATTGTATTGACAATGTTGCCGCTTCTTATAATTTGTCCGAAATATAAAAAAAATGGAATGTTACGAAAATCAATGTTGTTATAACTTTGCTCCCAATTTTGAATTAGTGATTGTCAATGAAAATTTTACGATGAAATTTTGAAATTAACCTGCTGAAGGGTGCTGAATTCAAAGGTGGAGTCGAATTTTCCTAAAAGGAATCGCTAATGATATTTCGCAAATTTCAACATAAAAGAACATATTATGTCCTGAGAATTGGAATTATATTAATTTGTTCAACGTAGACCTTTGGTTACTCGTTCTGCTGAAGCGCAAAAAAAAACGGTTTAAAACTGTGGATTTTATAACCAATCTGAAATCTTGAAACCTTGTCAGTCATCTACTAGACTGAATTTTGGCAGCAGTAAGCTTAAAACAGAGGGTCATAAAAAGGGAAGTGTTCAGCTACAACATCATGTAAATCAAGAACAAAACAAGTTAGGATACATTTTTATATCAACTTTATTTTCTCTAAATTATGAGAAGTAATTATATCTCATGAAATGTCGTTTGGCAATTATATAGTTTATAATTGAGAGGATGATGACAGGTCTGAATCCACATATCAATTGACAATATTTCACTTGGAAAGGTCAGACATTAGTTACTGTCAAATTGGGTGTCATTTTTTGATGTCAGTAATTATAAATTTGATGCTAATGCTCTTATTTTCGATAATTAACAAAATACAATTATTTTATTGCCAGTGGTGCAAATTTAATTCACATCTGACATTTGACATCTTTGCAGCCAACATCACAAATACGAAATTTCAAATCCTTTGAAAATATGATCAATATTTTATTTCGTAAATTCTCAAAATGAAGATGGCATACTAATTAACAAAATATAAACACCCTGTATGATCTACTGCACTCAACACCCGTAACAATTGATGAAAAATTAATTAGCTCGTACAGGAAAAAGAACGAGCTTCAATGCAAATGCAAGAAAGGAATTGTTCCTCATAGTCCAGGAGATTATGACAGAAATTTGGGTCTTATGTCTGAACATTGAGAAGTTCAGCCAATGAAAACGGAAAATAGAAGTGTGAAACACGAATATTTTCTAAATTATTTTTACAGCTTCTTAATTTCAGGTAGGTACTCAGCTGTCTGTATGGTTGGTTCTGATCAATTAACTTTTATTTTTTCTCTGTTGAATCGCAAGAAAGGGAATCTCTAAAATATTCGAAGAATATCATGCGTACCTAGGAAGAATAGGGAGACAAGGCAAAACTTTGAATTTTTTCTGATTTCTGGAAGTTCAAGTTCTTTGGAATACTCCCTTTGGCAAAAATGCTTTGCAATTCTGGGGAACAAACTAGTTTTGGTAGAGAGTGGTTCGACATATCTCGAGATTGACTACGAAATGAGTTCGTCTAACTAATAATATTGACTGTGATGAAATTATAGCCGAGATTCATGAAGAATATTCACTGTGGAAGTATCTATATACAAGGTGATTCTGAAATAGGTGGTCAAACTTTGGGAGTATATAAAGTGAGTGAAATAATTAGGAAAACATCTGTAACATTTTTTTCTAAAGTGCCCCCCAAGAAAAATACAGCCCCTCAAAGGGGTGCCTCAGAGAATGATTTTGTATTATTATCTCTAACACCTTGTATGATGAAAATCTGAAATTTTGTCTATGCACTAACTATTCAGTGCAGGTTCGAATGGAGTTAAAATCACCTCAAAATTAAATACAGGAGTGTGTTGAAATAGGGAGGTAGGGGGTGACAATAACACCAACTTTTTTGTTCATCGCAATTTCAGATTTTTCACATGAAATTATGAAATCTCAGGGCTATTAACATAGAAAAGGAGCTCCTGTTGAATCTCGATAAAATGAACCATTAGCGAATAAAATCTATTTTTCCAAGATTTCATTTAAATTGCAATTTTGGTATGCACTCAAGTTTGATTATCTAGTTCAAATCTCGCAACTGCATTTCCACCTACTCATAATCGTCTGATCAAATCAACTTGGAATCTGGCACATGACAGTTGACAACGCGTTATGGACTTTTTGATAGAAAAAAATATGGCGGCTCCAATGTGGCTGACCAGACTTGTGATTATGGTCCGATTCGATTCAACATTGGTTTGTAAGGGTTTTTGGGGTTGGAAATTTTGAATTCGTTGTCGGAATTCATGAATTAGAAATAAACGACGAGTTTCGTATGGTCTGATCCTATTGAAAATACTAAAATAAAAAATATTGTTTAAAACAAGCTTTTATTATTTCAACTATTGAAATAAAAAAGTGGAGATGAAATAAGGTGAATGCTATAAAAATGAGAAAAAAATGCTACTAGATATCTTCTTCCACTTCCAAATGTTTCAGGAATGGAAGAATATTTCTTACTTACGTGAGGTATCCAAAAGCATTTTTTTCTTATTTTCAGAGCATTTGAATGGAGGCTTGTCTTTTTTCACCTTATTTCATTTTTTATTTCAATAGATAAAGTGATTAAAGCTTGTTTTCAACAATATTTTTCATTTAAGTTTTGATAGGATCAGTCCATAATAACAAAACTCATCGGCTATTTTGATTTCATGAATTCTGACAACGAATTCTGAATTTCCAACCCCAAAAACCCTCACATACCAATTTTGAATCGAATCGAATCATTATCACAAATCTGGTCAGCCACATTGGAGCCGCCATAACGAATTGTCAACTGTCATCTGCCAGATTCTAAGTTGATCAGACGATTTGAAGTAGGTGAAAAAAATCCAGTTGCGAGATTTGACCTAGATAATTGAACTTAGGTACATATTATCAAAATCGCGATTTAAATGTAATCTTGAAAAAATAAATTTCATTAGCTAATAGTTCATTTAATCGAGATGCAACAAGAGCACCTTTTTAATGTAAATCGCACTGAGATTTCATAATTTCATGTCAAAAAACTGAAATTGCGATGAACAAAAAAGTTGTGGTTATTTTTACCCGCTACCTCCCTATTTTGACACACCCCTGTATTTAAATTTGAGGTGATTTTAACTCAATTCGAACCGGCACTGAATAGTAAGTGGATGAACAAAATTTCAGATTTTCATTATACAAGGTGTTGGAGATAATAATACAAAATCATTCTCCGAGGCCCCCCTTTGTGGGGCTGTATCTTTCTTGGGGGTCACTTCAGAAAAAAATCTTACGGAGGTTTTCGTAACTATTTCACCCACTCTATATGCTCCCGAAGGTTTACCACTTATTTTAGAATCACCTTGTATAAAGAAGTGAAAGGTCGCCGACTTTCGTGCGGTGTTCCAATGGTGTGGAGGAATTAGTGTGTGGCATCACCAACCAGCCAGACTCGTTTCCGAATGGAATACTGAAGAATCAGCGTATGTTTGGATGTCAAACTCTATACAGGGTGTATCTAAATAACACCGAAAAAATTCAAGGGGTGATTCCTTGTGATATTTTAGAAAATGAAATTCATATGAACATGTATCCTAACTTGCTTCGTCTTATCATTATTTTCAATTAAACGTTGTGGTTTTGTTGATAGTAATATGGAGCTACTTCGAATGCAATTAGATTCGAAATAATATTTCCAGTGGCGTCACAGTGGGTAAATTTACCGATATTTATAATGAATGTCATTGTACGTCACCGATTTTTCTGAGTTTCATGTTTTAATTCGATTGAACTATTTAAATAACAACTTTTTCATCCCCTGTGTGATTTTTGTATCTAGCTTAGTTTTTGAGGAATCAATACAAATTCGATTTGACTCCAAATTTATTGCAGGTGTATTCAAGACTTCCATTGAGATTACTCAATAACCCTAATTACATTATTTTGAAACATTGGGGCTTTCTCAGTCAACATGAAAGCTTATACAGGGGGATTAGTAATGAAAGCTTATACAGGGGGATTGGTAATGAAAACAATTACTACTTCCAACTTCAACATCCTGTATCTCAAAAACGGAGGAAGTTAGGACACAATCATGTTTATATGAACTTTATTTGCTAGAATATCACAAGGAATCACCCCTTGAATTTTTTTGGCGTTATTTAGATACACCCTGTATACATAGTTTATATTTTACTCAATAGCTTTCTCAGTTAACGTTATTGGTTCTGCGAAAACGGTTAAATGGGCAAATATGACGTATTATTCATGAGTATTCAGAATACAGTATTAGGAAATGCGAAAAAAAAACGTCGTAAACCTGTGAATTTTACATAAACTGGTATTTTTGAAATGGAAAACCCAGTATTCAATATTCCTAAACGGATGAGTTCTTCCTTCTGATTTCGAATATAAATATATACTTTATTGAGGTTATCTTCAGTTGTCAGTTTTAGAAAACTATAGATATTTTCGTATAAATCCAAGGCAGAGCTGTAGAACGCGATTTCTGGCGTTCTAAAGCTGCCGAAAAAATCTATATTTTTCTAAAAATGTCAAAGATAACTTCAATAAGGTATACAGGCTGATTCACGGTGAATGGCACATTAATCGTTTCTGGAGAACGCAACGTAG